GCAAAAGAATATTGTTTTGCCTTAAGCAAACTGTCACCAAAAAGACAAGATCCATGCATTTTCATCATTCCATATTTGATAGGAAAAAATTATGTTGGGAAGGCACTATGTGACCTTAGTTCAAGCGTGAACTTAATGCCTAAGTCAATTTTCATGAAACTTCGAATAGGAAATGCGAGACCCACCTCCGTTATCTTCCAATTAGTCAATCGTTCCCATGTTTGTTTCAAAGAGCGAGTCGAGGATGTCATTGTAAGGGTGGACAAATTCGTATTTCCAGTAGATTTTCTTATTATGGACTGTGAGACCGATGCCACAACACCCATAATTTTGGGAGACCCTTCCTAGCTACCTAACACATTCTTATTGACTGTGAGAAGGGTGAGTTAACCATGAGAGTGACCGACCAATGTGTCACTGTGAATGTCCTCCGTACTCTCAAGTATATAGATGATACTGAAGAATGCCAGAGCATTTTCGAAGTGGATTCATTTATAGCAAGAAAAGCTGATCAATTTTACCATGACAATTTTATTCAGTTGGAAAATTATGAGAGGCTGTTTGAAGACGAAAAGGCCGAAGAGCCCAATGACTTTTCTTTGGAGGAGCATCAGGCTAGCTTCCTCATAGTTAGCCTAGGTACGCATTTTGAACCTCTTAATTTCGAAGAGTTTGTTCCTCTTAAGCCCTCATTACAACATGCACCTACACTAGAGTTAAATAATTTTCCACAACATCTTAAATATTCTTATCTGGGTAGTAATGAAACATTACCTGTGATTGTTTCCTCTGCCGTGACTCCTAACCAAGAATGTAGATCGTTAAGAGTCTTGTCACAACATAAGAGAGCATTAGGATGGACTATGGCAGATCTGAAGGGAATAAGTCTGACCATTTGCATGCAGAAAATCTTGTTGGAAGAAAGCCATGGAAAATCCATAGAACTACAAAGAAGATTAAACCCAATCATGAAGCAAGTTGTGATGAAAGAAATTCTCAAATTGCTTGATATGTCAAATGTGTGTCTCGTCCAATGTGTGTTAAAGAAGGGATGCATGACCATGGTGACAAGTGAAGACAATGAGTTGTTACCAACACATACTGTCATCGGGTGGCGAATATGAATGGACTACCGTAAACTCAATAAGGCCACCAAGAAGGACCACTTCCCTTTGCCTTTTATCGATCAAATACTATATCGACTGGCTGGCAAGGCAGATTAATGTTTCTTGGATGGATACTCGAGGTATAATCAAATTTCCATCGTACTAGAGGACCAAGAGAATACAACATTCACGTGTCCCTGTGGCACTTATGCTTTCCGAAGAATACCTTTTGGACTCTGTAATGCCCCGACAACCTTTCAACACTGCATGCAAGCCATATTTTCTGACACGATTGAGTATTTTCTAGAAATGTTTATGGATGACTTCTCCAATTCTAGAGATGACTTCGAGAAATGTATCGACAATTTGGCGAAGGTACTCAAGCAATGTGAGGAGGTCGATCTCGTGCTAAATTGGGAAAAGTTTCACTTCATGGTGACCGAAGGCATTGTTCTAGGCCATAAGATCTCTAAAAGGGCATTGAAGTGGACAAAGCCAAAATCGAGGTGATCGAGAAGCTACCCCCACCAATTTCTGTCAAAGACGTTAAGATTTTCCTTGGACATGTTGGGTTTTATAGAAGATTCATCAAGGACTTTTCCACAATATCCAAGCCCTTATGCACACAGTTTCAACAAAATTAGCCCTTTGTGTTCGATAAAAATTTCCATGGCGTATTCACCGAGCTGAAAAAAAGACTTATCTCTGTACCTATCGTGGTTCCCCCCGATTAGACGTTACCGTTCGAGTTAATGTGTGATGCAAGTGATTTTTCTGTGGGAGCTATTCTTGGGCAACACAGAGGTAAAAATTTTCCATGTTATATATTATGCTAGTCGTACCTTGAATGAAGCACAACTGAACTATACTACCACTGAGAAAGAATTACTTGCTATGGTATTTACATTTGACAAGTTTAGGCCATACTTGATAGGAACCAAAGTCATTGTTCACACTGATCACTCAACTATAAAATACTTAGTGAACAAGAAATATGCCAAGCCTAGACTCATTAGGTGGATATTACTACTGCAGGAATTTGAAATAGAGGTAATAGATAGGAAAGGTACTGAAAATCAGGTTGCAGATCATTTATCTAGGCTAGAAAACAATTTTGAATGCCATGACATTTTAGATATTCAAGAGGAATTCCCTGATGAGAAAATTTTATATGCCACGACAATTCTGTGGTACGCTGACATCGTTAATTTTCTTGTTAGTGGTATTTTTCCATATGAATTGAACAGCCAGGGCAGGAAAAAGTTCTAGAATAATACCAAGTTTTACTTTTGGAACGAGCCGTACTTATTTAAACAATGCGTCGATCAAATGATTTGACGTTGTGTCCCCCGAGGAGGAGCAAAGAGACATTCTACACCATTACCACACAACCCCCTGTGGAGGACATTTCGGAGGTGCAAGGACTACTGCTAAGGTCCTCTAATCAGGCTTTTACTAGCCTTCATTGTTTAAGGATACTCATGAGTTTTGCAAAGCATGTGATAGATTCCAACGCACTGGGAACATTTCCAGACGACACGAAATGCCATTACAAAATATTCTGAAGATCGAGGTCTTTGACGTGTGGGGCATTGACTTCATGGGACCGTTCCTAACTTCTTTTGGAGACTTATATATTTTGCTTGTTGTAGACTACGTATCTAATTGGGTCGAAGCCATTGCCACACCGAGGAATGACTCTAAAATCGTGCTCAAGTTCATTCACAATGACATCTTTACCCAATTTGAAGCACCAAGAGCCATCATCTATGATGAGGGCACTCATTTTGATAACAAACTAATTGCCAATACATTACAAAAATATGGAGTACGACATAATATTGCCATGGCATATCACCCACAAATCAATGGGCAAGCTAAAGAGTCCAACCGGGAAATCAAGCAAATCCTAGATAAGGTGGTGAATCATAGAAGGAATGACTGGTCTCTGAAGCTGGACGAAGCGCTCTGGGCTTATCGGACGACATTCAAAACACCTTTGGGAATGTTACCTTTCAAGATGGTATATGGAAAAGCATGCCACCTACCCATGGAATTAGAGGATAAGGCATATTGGGCAATCAATAAGCTGAACTTTGATGCACAATTGGCTGGAGAGTAAAGGTTACTCGATCTGAATGAAATAGAAGAGTTTTGAGCACAATCATATTAAAATCCCAAGCTTTGTAAAGAAAAAACTAAGAAGTGACATGATCGAATGCTTTTTCCATGACATTTTCATAATGGCCAGCAGGTGCTCTTGTTTAACTCGAGGCTAAAGTTCATCCTTGGAAAACTGAAGCCACGATGGTTCGGACCTTTTGAAGTACACCGTGTCTATCCTCATGGCGATGTAGATATCAAGAATATGGATGACATATCCATTTTCAAAGTTAATAGACAATGTCTGAAGTCTTATCAAGGAGCTCCGCCCATGCATGACAAATCAGTACTCTTCTCGCACGATGTCAAAATCTACTAAGCATCTTGAAGATGCCATTACATTTTAGATTTACTCTTGTGCATAAATAACAATTTATTTTGTTACTGTTTTATTCAGTTTCCTTTTAAGTGATTATTTTATTTTTCTTTGCAAGGTTAGGGTTTACGCGGCAGGCACGTGATGGCCGTACGATTAAAGCAAAATAGAATGGGGAGCAACAAGACAAAAAGATGAGGGAAACTTTTTCACCTTTTTGAATTTTTAGTTTTTCTTTAGGGTTTGTTTAATTATTTTTTCCTTTTTCCCATCCACACGTCAAATAACCCCCACTTTTTTACCTTTTTATCTTGTTCCCATCATTTTTACTATCTCACTTTGCTTTAATCTTTTCTTTTTCTTCCCTTCTTTACACCGAATACCATAGCCAAAAAGCTTCAAGCTTTTTCATCATTTCTTTGTCTTGTCAACTAACCATGGAGTGATCACATCCCTCCAGCACAAATCCATCATCTCCATCAAGTTTCGTTGATGAAGCATCACAAGAAAGATTTCAAAACCTTAAAAATAGTCGGGTATTCTTTGAGTTAGGCTTCATTTTTTATGACGAGGAAGACGCCGACCTTGGTAATGATGTCATGAATATCGTACACCAGCACTAGTGGCAAAACTTTGCCAAGCATCCGAAGATTGTGAACGCTTCTTTGGTGATGGAGTTTTATGCTAACCTAACTAATCCAAATCAACATGCCATTGTGGTATTTCTATTTGCTTTACTTCTTCAACTATTAATCGTTATTTTACCTTGCAGGATGCTATTGATAACCACACCGGTTTCACAAAAGAGGAAGACAATGAAACTTATCTTGGCATTTTGGAAGACCTATGTTTTCCAAACACACAGTGGAATGGCCAGCAAGTAAACTGATGAACGGTGGACCGTGAGAGGCTACAACCGAGGGATAAGTTGTTGAATCACTTAATGAAGCACAAACTTCTCCCTGCTGCCACAACACCACAGTTTTATTGCAGATGATGCTTCTGTTGCACTCTATTTTAGTAGGCGTTCCATGGACATGGACAAGATAATTGTGGAACAAGTTCATACTTGTCTGAAAAGACTTGTCAGTGCCTTGGTATTTCCAAACCTCATTACGGATTTCTACCGTAAGAAGAAGGTGTCTGACGAACAATTTGATGAGATATTGCCTGGACTGGCTGGAATTAAAAATGCCAAGCTTCCTTTGTTACTTGGATTTAAGGAAAATAAGAGAAAATAGAAAGAGGAGAACACTCCTCGTGCTGATGCAACCTCGAATGCCAGGGTAAAAGTAGATGCCCTATATAAGGTCACTAAGCGAACCCAAGAGCATGTCGAGCAATTGACCAACAACATGGTGATTTTTTTTTTTGCATATGTAAAGCACCAAGATGAGTTTATCCTAAATGCTTTAATGGAGATTCTCCTCCACATTAATTTTGATATCCCAGTATTCCCTACTACGCTCTTGCAACTATCTGAAAATGTCGAAGCATCCAAAGATACTCGCCATCCCGCTAATGAGGAGGATCCAGCTGATCATGATCTATTTCACTTTGTGCCAACTACTGAATATCGAGAAAAAGATCTCCAACTTTCAACCGTACCAGCACCCTCGTAGCCCTAAAGCCATTAGAGGATGAACAATCAAAAATGCCACAGTAAATTCTTCTACGAAGGAGTAGATGCCGGTTGAAGAAGGTGTCTAGGTGTGAGGAGCCTTAGTTATCCCTAGTCCCAGAAGGATCCAGTACCCCCCCTACTGCACGAGCATCAGACTCTGAACATTCCAGCCCCACACAACTACGCAAGCACCCTCGTCACACAACTACTACACCGCCACCAACATAAAGTCAATGTACCTTGCATTACATTGCATTTCATAGCATGTAGTCTAGTTTTAGCTTAATTTTTATTAAGCATTGAAGATAATGCTTCTCTCAAGTTTGGGGGAGGTAGGGTTCTCAAATCATTACATGATAGTATTAGTATAATGAATATGCCATGACATTAGTACGTGTTAGAATTAGTTTTTTGGAATAAATTAAGGATGCTCGATGATGAGAAACTCTTTATGACTAGAAATGAATGTACATGACTGATGAGGATGATAGGACTAACTCTAGGACTTACTTCTTTGGAACCTTCGAATACACGATTGTATGTTTTCCATGCTTAAGGAAATTATAAATTTTTTATAAGAGAACTCTTGAATGTCTTGGTATAAAACTTTGATAATGAAGGATAATAAATGCTTCGGCATATCTGTAGAGGGACACTTCGCTATGCCATGGCATTGGCTGGAAACTGCATTTAAATATATGGCAGCTATGGTATATGAGTGAATGAAAGTAGTCACAGGATGACTCTACCTGTCTACCTCGGGGGTGAAAGGTATTCTCCCTTTCACCAAGAGTGTGGGATGGTAGGTTTGATGGGCTAACTCCCCTTGTAGCAGTGTTAATAAAAGAAAAGAAAACAAGGTGGGAGTAAAACTTGTAAATGTCGTGGCAAAACAAGAGAGCTTGCTTAGAAAATTTTTAGGTTTATTAAGAATGGACTTGATACAATCACACGCACACACTCACACAAAGGATCTTGCCCTAGGGGACTGTACTTGATTTCTCAAACTAGTCTAGCGTATTGAAGCCAAATGTTCTGAGGGTTGAAATTATATCCCATATAACTATTTTGCTTCTGAACTTGCCATGTTATTTTCATTTTGCTTAATACTATCCATTGCTTGAGGATAAGAAATAGCTTAAGTTTGGGGGTGTGATAACTCCGTAAAAAGGCCATATTTAGGGCCTTTTCACTTAAGTTATTGACTATCTAAGAGCCCATATAGGACTATATAGATGCATATAGTTGTATGTGGTGGAAATATGTTTATTGCAGTATTTTATTTTGTAATCGGTGATGCTTTATGGGGAAGGCGCTTGTTTTATGATGTGCAGGATTTAGGAGCAAGGATAAGCAAAAGAGAAGTGTCGTGACATGATGAGACTGCTAAGCAGAATTTAAATGTTGAATCGGATGGTATTTTAAAAATGAACAAGATGAAAGAAAATATTTTTAAGAGCCAACTATCCTTATCTTCGTGTACCCTCTACCACAAGTCACCCCGAGAGGAGACATCTACCACCTAGGAAGCCTGATGTTGTTGGGACCACGCCCAGCTGCAGCTGATTCTGTTTGGACCACGCCCTACTACAGGATGATCTTGTCTGGTCCACGCTCGGTTGTCTGGAGGGGACCACTGCCACAGTTGCTCATTTCCTCACGTGAATGAGACATGTTTGGCGTATCCTAGGAATTTTAACACAAATTTCTAGGTTTATTCTCCCCCTATAAAAAGGAGATGAAGCCATAATGAGAAGGGACTTTTACACGCCTCCTTGAGATAGAAATTCAGAGAGAAAAAGGTCTCTCCTTTTTTCATCAATCTTATTTTCCATGGCATTCCTCCATTGACAAGCTAGAGGGAGTGGAAAGCTAGGCATCTGAGAGGAGCTAGCAAGCTGAGGTAATCTGTGGTGGCTAAGACGAGCTTCGGCAGTGCACGTCAAAGGCTTTTCCTCTTTCCCTTTACTCTTTGCTTTCATTTATATCATTTGGGTTGTATGGAACAAATTAATGTTTTACTTGGAACATTCGAACCCTACCATGAACTAGTCTTATTTGTTGGGAGTTCCTTATGGATATTTCAGTTTGCTTTAATGGATGGTTATTTTTTTATATTATTATCTGTTTTGTTTATGATGTTTAATGCCTTAAGGTTGTATGAGCTATGAGAGTAGCCATTCCTTAGGAGATTACTTAGTGTTCAAGAGAATGGCTAAGTAGTATGTCATTAGTGTTCGAGAGAAACTAAGGAAGAACTACATAAACAAGGGGTTCTAGGTAGTAACTAGGCCTAATCCAACCTTAGAGATAAGGCTAGGATTTCAGACGACTAAAAGGAGTAGTGCTTGATCGAGAGGTTAGATGTTAATGCTGCCGCTAAAAGGTATTGTCATGGCATATCCTGTTATCTGAACATATAGGATCCCTGCACTACCTAACGCTAATAGGTTTTCCATGACATGTTAAACCTGTCGAGTCTCTTTACTAGAGATAGCATAGGGCACTCTTAGTAAAGTCTGTCGGGAAGATAAGACATAGAAGTAAGACCATCCTGAGAAGTAGACTTAAATTTGCTAAGTGACTCCTATCATTCATTCTCATGGTAGCTTGTTGTGGGAAGAGTCTAAAGTCTTGATAATCAAATCTAGTATTTACAAATTATTTTGCCTTTACATTTTCATTTCATTTCACTAAACACAACTTAATTTTCCACAACATCTCCATTTGCTGCTATATTACCATCATTACATTTCCACAACATCCATTTCATCTGCCACATTATTCTCATTTGTAAATAACATCACTAACTATACTTAGGTGAAATAGTAAATTATTGTGATTAGGCTTATAAATTTCCTCCAATCCCTGTGGATATGATACTCACTCATCACTGTATTACTTGTTCAATTGTGTATACTTGCACATATTTTCGTGACCATATATAATAGTCACAATTTACGGGCAGATTTTAAGGGTTTCAAGTGTGAGTTTATTTAACCAAGGTAAGATTATTAATCTCCATTCTTCAAGCTTTAATTCAAGTTCAATTTCTCAAGTTTTTCCTTAGTTAGCAAAAATGGGTTTTTTGTGGAAGTAAATGGAGTAGATGGATTTTTAGTTGCTCTAGTAGATGGATTTTTAATTGCTCTAGTAGATTTCAGATATAGGAAACATTTTTAGCATTAATTCAACCATTTAGATGAGTTAGGAACACGTTTCTTTACCTTTGATGGGAGAAAGCTCAAGAGCAAGAGGTATAGAAAAATTGACCTTGGGTTAATTTGGGGAGAGTTTTATCCATCAAAGAAGCAAGGTAACACATTTACAACTCCCTCATACCATTTGTGGGTCACTAGAAAATGCGTGATAGCAAGAAAGTTGAGATTAAAGCATGTTTGATCATCCATGGTAGATTCTAGCTTATGGTGTTATTTAACTTGTTTAAAGCCCTTTATGATCTATTTTATAATATTTAAACTTATATTGTCAATTGAAAATGTTGGAATTGTTTTGTGAGGGTTTGAAAGTATTTAAACGGGTAAAAAATTGAATTTACTGAAGACGTTTCGAAACCCCATGGCTTGTTTTAAAACCTTTTATCCATAATTTAATTTCAGGAAAAGGTTTCAAAACCTCTACAGTAGGTTTCAAAACTCCCTTCCTAAACCTAAAAAAATTATGTTAAGGTTTCTAAACCTATACAGCAAGTTTCAAAGTAAAAGGGAACGAAAGTTCATTAGTGACGATAATATAAATATACAAAACCAGAAGGACCCAAAGTAGATTTTATCCACATGCCAAAGTGCTCTCCTGACCCCTCTCCAAACGACATCATTTTATGTCCCATATATGTACTCGAAATCTAGGCCAAAACCGACCATCCTTTCATTTGCCTTCTTTTCCCTTTGTTTGAAAGAGAGATAGAGCTCTAGAGAGCTTCAATCGAAGCAAAGAAATCCCAAATCCAATGGGGTCACCTCCATGGTGGTCTCCGTTGACTGGCGATAACCACTATCCGTCGGAGTCGATGAAGAAAGAAAAAGACATCTTTTGAAGTGTCTCTCCATCGTCACGAATCCAGGCTTTGTTTAGCTTGGAAATGGCCCAAATGTTGTAGATCTATGAAGAAACGATTCAATTTCTTTGGCTCTGGTGAGCCTTGGAGTTCTCGGCGATCGACTTACGAGCTAAGTCCTTTCTCTTTTCAGTTTTTGTTTTTTCTTCCTCTAATTTTTTTCCTTTTTCTCTCTGTTCGACCCCTTTTTTCCCGAACCCTTCCCCTCCTTTTAATCTCCTTGCATGTTATATTTTGGGTGACTTGTGTAGCTCTGAATCATAGGGTATGAGTGCCCTATTTCTTCTTGTGACAGGTCTTGGTTTTCTTCGGGATTTCATGCTTGTAAGTGGATATTTCTTTATTAATTTTTTTATTTTTGTTGACTGGAATGGTGTATTGATTGATGCATTTTATGTCACTGTTCGGTACGGATTGCTGACGACGGTGATGTGGGAGTCCTTTGGAGGCGATTTATGCAATGGGGAGTTAAAGAGTTTGGCGCGTGCATCTCACACGCGACAGATCGGACGATTCACATCCACTTGTAGCGACGGTTGGTTGCATTAGGGTAAAAACCCTAATAATAAAAGCATAGGGGCCATTGGATCTATACTAGAACCAATGGCTGGAAATGGTGGTGGCTGCTCTCCTTAGGGTTAGGGTTTCAGAAGCCCTAGGGAGTTGATATTGGGTTGGGTCAAGTCCTTTTGGGTCTTGTAATTGGGCTCCAGTTGGGTCTGTTATTTGTAAACGAGTTATATCTTGGGGGCTCGAACCGGGTGGGCTTGTATGCTGGGTCACTTGTTGGCTAGGTGTTGGATTTGTATTTTGGGCTTTAGTTTCGGGCCTACAAAATATGTAAATAAATATTAATATAATAATAATAATAATAATAAATAATAACAATAATAAGTTAGACCCCAGACAAAAACGGATGTCTACATATTCAATAGGTCTTAAAGATTTATATTCTTGAATGATTATTTAATATGTGAATTTAAAGATGTATTTTTTTGAAATTGTTTTTCCTATTAATAAATATAATAGCAAATACAACATGAAGTCAGAAGCATATTTTTTTAATAAAAAATTCTTGAAATGATTAAAATGATAATAAAAAATTAGATAAAAATTCTCTTGAATGATTCGTTTTGAACTTTACTTCCATACTTCTTTCATAATTAAAATTAATTATTTAGACTTAATAACTTATTATGTAGGTAATACATTCTTAATAGAAGAAGATTCCAAAATATTTCATGCAAGTGACTCAGGTATAATACAGCAAATGAATCTTTCATTCATTTTATTTCTATAGGTGATGAGATATATATTATTTAATTGATTGAATAAAATTAATTAAAAAATATTGATAAAAAATAAATGAGAATTAAAAAATTAAAAAATATATATAATATGTCATGTCATGTGTGTATCATTTCTATTTTTTTAAATTTGAGGGTCTCAATAATTATTAAGTCAATAAATAAAAATAAAGGTGAAATTAACAAAAAAGTTAGTCTAAATCAGATGTACCCAATACCCATGCTATAAAAATATGGGTAAATTACATCATTTCTAATTGAATTCTATTCTCTCTCCTATTTCATTAATTATACTTTTAATTTTTTAATTTTCTCATTAAATTTTTGAATTATTCCTATTTTAATTACTCTATGATGACATGAATTATTTTATTATTATGTTTATATAATATATCATATTTTTTTAAACTTTTAATACCACATATGATTTTAATAAAAAATATAAATCTTAAATTATTCATTAAAACCCTAATATTCAAATTATACCCAATCCTCATCCTTCAACAAGTGTGAGATGGGTAGCGACAGAAAAACATTCTTAACCAAAATCTCTCTCGTCCTCCCTATACCTATTCTCACCCACATCTGCAATCTCTTCCATTACTTTAACCATATTACCATTCTCACTTGATTATCAAACGGTAAGACTCATCGACGACAAACATGCTATGAAGCGTAACAGCGCAGGATTGAACCGCCATATCGAGCCGGATTGTATATAATGTGATAGTTCGTCGATTATCCTCCACTGATTTGGAACACTGGGAAAACAATACACTGTTTAGTACCCATCTCGCAGGTGAGGCCGTTGATGAGCCACTATCCGCTGATGGGAGGGTGAAACATCGATGAGAGGGTGTGATGGGATTGTGATTTGGGATTTAGAATTTATAATTTAGAATTTGGAGTGTAATTTAAGAATTTAGGGGCATAAGTGTAAATTCTAAAGGTATAATTTAAAATATAAATTAAATATCACATGTTATATAAAAATAACAATAAAATAATTTATATCATATTAAAATAATAATAAAATAATTCATGTTATTAGAGTGATTAAAATTAGAACAACTAAAAAATTTAGTAAATAAATTAAAAAATTAAAAGTACAATAAATAAAATAAAAGATAATAAATTTAGTGAGAAATACAATAATTTATCCTTAAAAAATAATTCACTTCTAGCGTGCTCGTCATCGTGCTTCGAAGCTGATAAATTTTCTTAGGCCATCTCCAGCCTTCATCTCTACTCTAGAGCATCTATATCTCTACTCTAGAGATGAAATAATAATTCATCCTCAGCGATATATCTATATTACCATCAACTTTACTTTATTCACAATATTTAACTATTATGATATTAATTTTGTAAATTAAAAAAAATTAGAAAAAAATATAAAAAATTAAAAAAATTACAAAACAAATTAATATGATTATTTATCTATCTTCAATGTATTTTTATTTATCTTATAATTTAATTAAAAAAATAGATTTTTATAGCGTTGTTATAGTAACACGCTACACCTAACGTTGCTGTTTCATAAAACTCCAAAGTGGAGCTGAATTTTACGCAGCGTTGGAGCACGCCACAGTGGCGATATGCGCCACAGTTTGCTATAGTCTCGTTTCCATTTTCTCACCTTCCGTGCAGACATTCGTCTGAAATATGTCAAAGATCTTCAAAACCCCACCAAGTCGGCTATGCTTTAACTCCAAGAAAGGAGAAAACTTTCATCCTACCTTCCCTCCTTTCCCACGCATCCCAGAATGGTGTTTCTTTACCGAAAATCGTACCCAGTAAACCTCTGATCCAACTAGGACCGTTCAATTGCATCCTCCACAAACTGTACGACTCCGACTGGAAACAAAATCTTCGAGACTTCGCTTCCCAAAACCCTAGCATCCCCATCATCGACTCCCCAGATTCAATCGAGATTCTCCACAGCAGAATCTCAATGCTTGAAACTGTTCCGAAACTGAAAATAAGCAACACCGGAGTCCCCAATCAGATTACCATCAATGAAGTCACGGATTGGGAAAATTTGGAAATCAACTTCCAGTCGATCGCAAAGCCGTTAGACGCGGACGGTAGTGAGAAGTCACAGAAAATGCATCTCATCTTCGAAAAGGATGTGTTAAAGAACTTACCGCTTCCGTTTGTTTTACAGGAGTTTATTAATCACGGCGACATCATCTTTAAAGTCTACGTCGCCAGAAAATATTCCCGGTGCGTGAAACGGAAGTCGTTGCCTGATATTTCGGAGGAGAAACTGGTAAATTCGAAAGGTTCGCTGCCGTTTTCACAGGTTTCGAATCTGACTGCAGCCGGCGGCGGTGATGAAGGTTGTGGATTCAAAAAGACGGAATTGGCCCCGGAAAATTTAGTGAAAGAGTTGGTGGAAGGGTTGAAGGAGGAGTTGAGATTGAATTTGTTTAACTTCGATGTAATTAGGGATGTCAAAAACAAGGATAATTACTTAGTCATTGATCTCAATTATTTTCTGGGGTTTGCGAAAATGCCGGATTTCGAGTCCGTGATAACGGATTTTTTACTCGATGTGTGCTCGAAGAGATGAAATGCGGTGAAAATTGAAGATAGGAGGTACTTTGTTGAACCTTTGAAGCTTTAATAAGCTCACATTTTACCATGCTTTGTATCATCTTACACTGGTAATTGTAGTGCATGGATTATTCCAATACTTGTTTTCTTTTACTTGACTCCAGTTTTGATTGATGTATCAAATGTGCATTTGTTTCTGTTCTTGTTTGCAAATTGAGCTAAAGTTTTATGTAGAGGAGACAAATCTTGCTGTGTTATGTTATCATCTAGTTTCAGGTGTCTTGGATATAGTTACATGTCGACCATGGGATTTCTTCTATCATTTTATATATGCCTGAAGGATTATATTGTATACCGATGTCTGAAAATGTATCGGATGCCGTAGGTACATTAGAGGAAATAAGTAGTTTAGTTAACATAGCCTTGGGTGATCGTTCGAATAACATAGGTACTTGTGTGATGGTGTGGTATTCTTTAATCTCCTCCCCTTAAGATTATAGTATTTTTTGAATGACATAGCCATCGGTGATGGTTTGAGGAGTCTCGAATATAGTTACATGTCTACCATGGGATTTCTTCTATTTTTTTATATACTCATAGGTTCGTATTGTATACCTATGTTCCAATATGTATTGGATGCAATAGGTACATTAGAGGGAATAAGTAGTTTGGTTAAAATTGCCACAAATTATCGTTCAAATAACATAGGAACTTGTGTGATAGTGCTATTCTCTAATCTCCTTTCTCTAATCTATTGATGAACCAATTCATTTGTGCTCAAACTCGTTGCAGTTATTGGAGGTTTAACCTGAAATATATATTGTTGGTGTGGTGTGTGATTGGTGATCCCATTTGGTCTCTTGTTCGAGTAATTGACGAATTGTTTTGGTCGTGAAAGAATGTTGGATAAGAAGGGATTTGTTTCGGTATTTCCAGCATTTTAGGTATCCCTAGAGAGAGTGAAAAGCCTACGCATTGAATTTATTGTCACACCCTAATTTAGGGGCTAAAAAATATATTAATATTAAGTATCGAATTAAAGTCGTAACAAGGGAAATTTTGATGATCAAATTATAAATTTTTAAAAGTGGCAACTTGATTTTGAAACTTGTTGGAAATTTAGGGACTTGAACCCTAATTATCCTATTTTTATTGGGCATTGAAAAATAAACCTCCTAGGTGAAATCTTGAATTTCGAATTCCCCCTAAATCCCTAAACACCAAAATCAACCTATCACTTTCCTCCGCGTTTCTCCTTCCTCCGGTCTGCGGTGCATGTCACTATTCATCCTAGTCGAAGGGTCGTGATTGTCTGACCAAAACCCCTAGGTCTAATCGTCAAAAACCGTTGTCGTTCGTCGTGGAAAGCTTGTCAAAGTTTCATCGAGAAACCCTGTCGCATGTCGGTTTTTCATCAATTCAGACCAATTCGGCGATCTTCTCACCTCACCGCTGTCACCAACGTGTTTCCCGACCTATTCCTCTAAAAAATCGACCGTTGGGTCACGTCGTTATCGTTGGTTCCGCTGATCGCCGGCGTGGGTAAGAGTTTCGGCCCTTTTCTTTTTAGTTTTGTTTAGTTTTGATGGATTTTGGATGGGTTTTGATATGTTTTTTATTTTAAATGGTGAGTGGTTGAACAGAGAGTAATCGACCGACAACTCTAATCTCCGTCGCCACCGTACGCACCACCACCCACTACGTGTGGGGTTTGTTTTGGTTTAGGAATTTTCCAGAATCGGGTCGACTTGATCCGTCTGATTTGACCCAACCCACCTGGTCCGGTCCAGTTACTGAGTAAACTCGGCCGAGTCAACTCGTTGACTTTGATTGATTCAACACGTTGACAGTTGAATGTTGACTTTGAAAAAAAGTTAAATTTTCTGAAAAGCCCTATGTTATGTTTTTCAATGTACTAAGTCCGAATCCAAAGTTCGTTTTGCCAAATTCGCACCCGGTAAGCTATTTTTCAATGTTTTATCTTCGGATTCAAGTTGGTTTCTCATTTAAGTCCAGTTTCTGACGTAAATTCAGTTGCTTTGTATCCAAGGATTTATTGGACATTGAATTAAAGTTCGAGGGCGATCGAATGGAGTTTAAATGGTCAATCGATATGGAACAAAAATCGAGGTAATACTCTACTACCTTTTATATGCTTTTCGGAACCCATTGATAAATGGTAAATGCATGAATGGAAATGATTGGTCCATTAGGTGTAATTAAATATCATTGGACTCAGATGGAAATTGGAATAAATAAGGAACACCGTGTAAGACTCTGACAGCTCGAAAAAGAAATAGGTAGACTGATCGGAAACAAATCTCAGTTCAAAGATTTAATCAGTAAATCAATCAATCTTAGAACGCGTAAATTCTGATTAATCTCGTTAAAGGTTAAATGTTGGGAATATTTGGATAAGAAATTATCAAAAATAGCACCATGGGATAAAATTACGAAAATGCCCTTGTATTGAAAAGGATAAATACTTCTCCTAGTGGTAAAATTAACCTCCAATGAGCAAATGAGCAAAGTACTCTGAACTTTAGTGGAACTAGAATACTTTCAAGCCTAAGTTATCCAAAGTAACGACACTGACAGAATTTAATGAAATGACGTTAATGCCCTTAAAGAATAAAATAATCCAAAATATATCTAAGCCTTGAAATTACTAGTATATGACCAAGTTGAATTGAATGGAAGTAATGTATGTATTCAAATTTCAGAAATAACCGAATTATTCTGGAAACTCCAAAGTGATCGGGATAAGTTTGACTACAAAATGAGTTAAGTACCTAGATGACCTTGAATTAAGTGAATAACTTGGATAAGTCTGGAAACAATGATGATCTTATATGTTTGATTGTTTCGAATTGTTGTTGAATGCTTGTAGTATTCAGTGAAAACTTGCCACTTTGTTAGCATCATGACAATTTTGTTGTTCTTAGTACCCACCATGTTTCAAGATATTCTAATAAAAAAAATGAGTGTTTTTTATTTTCAAAATATATTGCGAAAAAATCATGGAATTCGTATATAAACTTGTTTAAAGCCCCTTTATGGTCCATTTTATCATATATAAACTTATGTTGGTCAATTGAAAATGTTGGAATTGTTTTGTGAGGGTTTGGAAGTGTTTAAATGGGTAAAAAATTGAGGTTACTGAAGACGTTTCAAAACCCCCTATGGCTTGTTTCGAAACCTTTCATCCATAATTTAATTTCAGGAAAATGTTTCAAAACCTCTACAGTAGGTTTCGAAACCCCCTTTTCAAACCTAAAAAATTATGTTGAGGTTTTTAAACCTCTACAATAGGTTTTGAAACCTTTGACTGATTTTAGCCAAATAGGCCAAAAAGGGTACACGGATGGCCATGGACTTATAATATACTTCTAATTAGGATAATTTCTAATAAAATGATAAGTGAGAACGAAATACTGCTAAATACAAGAGAAATAATCAGGACACCCGAGTTCCTTTAGTAAGATTATGGTGTCGAAATGTAGAATCAGTCTGGATATCCTTAGATAGTGCGCGATGCAATTTAAACCAACTAACTAGGGTCGAGGGTTGACACTCGCCAGGGGTGGGTTAGTCGAGGGTGTTGTGTCCGATGTATAGATTTTGGGCCTCATCCTTGGTAGATTAGAGGGGTGTGTAAACTCCGAGATGCAAAACCCTTAGCTGCACCATGATACCTACCATAGAGTAAAGAGTGCAGTATACGAGTATACTCATTATTTCAATATTATCAGTTAGCTTGTGCATGATATGAACACTTTTAGTATGACTTAGTTGTTAGTGTGACACTAGACTAGTTATCTCAGCGTCTAAAGTTTTTTCCTTGCGCAGGTTAGGTCAAGGAGCAGTCAAAGGACCTTTTTACTAGCAGTGATCCAGACCAAACTAGTACAATGTACGTCTTGAGTTCATCTTAGAGGGCATGTATATTTGTAAACCCCATTTTTTATATTCGAGTTATAACTTATTTTAAAAGGTGGTCTATATAATTTGAAATATTATTTTAGGAGCTTCTGCTATTAAATTATTTTATTAAAATTTGTGGTTGATTTATCTTAGCATGAGTATTTAAAAATGATTTTTTTAAATGAAAAAATGAAAAGAGAAATTTTGGTCAGCCACTCTAGTGGTTATGTGTGGCATTCTGATTGGTCGAGTGTATGTCATACTGGTCTAGGGTGTTACATTTATTCATTACATGAACAACCCCTTTGATAATCATTAGCGGGCTATGAAACGTATATTAAGGTATCTTCGTGGGACACCTGAACATGGGTTGTTTTTCACTCAAGTTGGGAATTTTAGTTTGGTCTACTACACTGATGCAGACTGGACAACTTCGGTGGAAGATCGACGATCCACGACAGGCTAACACATATATCTTGGAGGCAATCCAATTGCTATTGGTGTTCTAAGAAACAAAGTGTAGTCTCTAGTGATCGAAACAACCTAGAAAAGTTGTCTGCCTACATAACCTAATTCTCATGCCAAGAGAAGGCATGTATCAGATCCCTATAGTTTGAGCCCCTTTTGTTTACAAGTTCCTATATTTTTTAATTTATTCTAGTCAAGTTAGTAAGGGCTGAGCCCATACAACTAGCACGGGTATATATTACCTCACGTTAAGTTATATTAATACCAGAATCAGTTGTTCAAGTCAATACCATTCAAGTCTTAAGCTTCCAGAAACCACTTATCTGGTGGAAAATTCATTCCGGATGGAGCATGAATATTCAATTTATATTTTATATTTATAGGCTTTGGCATATGTAGATTCGACAAATGTTTCCACATATCGGATTCTGGGTTCACACTCTAGGGGTCCTTTTCTTTGAGAAGTGACGGATCAATCTTTCATTGAAGAGAGGAACTGGCACATTAGAATCGAGATGATCCAGCTTCCTTATTATTTTATTTTATTTTATCACATCAGAAGCAGGGTATATGAGTCTTGTTAATTATGTTTCTGAGCTAATTGGATTGAACATTTACTTGATGAAATTGAGATTACTGTAACTGGAAAGCCAATTGTGGTGTGATGACACCTCTACAATCTCCATGGATGCAAATCCAACATATCATGCTCGTATAAAGTATGTAGAAATTAATATTCATTTCATGAGAGAAAGAGCTCTAGCAGAACAACTTGTTGGGAATTTTGTTCCTTTAGTTGAACAAGTTGTTGACATACTCACTAAGCCATTGTCACCTACAGTGTTTAGTGATATACGTTTTTGTCTTGAAGTCTTGGGTAGAAATCCAAGATGCAAGTCACAAATAAGGTCTGAAGAAACTAGGAAAAAGTTGAAGTGGTAATTCATATTTTAAGGAAGCCTGGAGAATATCATAGTATTAGTTAAGAAGTGGTTAGTTTGTTGTAACTGATTTTGTTATTCTGTTGGACTATGCTCATAGGCTTGAAATGTTGTACAAATAGTAGGCTTGTCCACTATCCTGAATACATTTTGGTTGTATCCCATTTCTTTTGAATTGAATTAGATATCTTAGCCTCTTTTCCTACTTTTTGTTAACTCTTTGTCAAAATTCCTATTTCTTCCCCTTTCCTCCTCCGATCAGTTCATGCTCTATACTCTCATCTTCTTCTCTGCAGTTCTCTTGTTCATGACTCAGTAGATCTTAATACCGACGACTATATTCTGCAACAAAAGGAAGTATAGCTAAATAAAAGAATTTTTAAGGTTTGGTTAGATCTATGAAATCACATATTTGTGAACACTATGTGGTCTCCAATGTTTGCACAAATGATCATTTTTGTTCCATATCCTCTTTTGAAGCATTATTCTCTAACATTCTATGTTGGAGCAAAATGTCTCATTGGTGGATGGAAATCGCTAATTGACTAACGGTTAACAGTTCCTATTGACGTGGCACGTCCACGTGTGATGCCATGTCATCAAAAAAATATTTTTAAACAATTTTTAAATATATTTTTATAAGTCTATATGTAATTAATTATAATTATAATTTACTCCAACAATATTGTTTTCCTGAAATGGCATCACACATGGGCTTGTCACGTCTATATTAAACATTCACATTTAGTCAACTAACAATTTTCATCAAACTAAGAGACATTTTGCTCTAAAAATAAAACGTTAGGGCTAAAATACTAAAAAAAGGATAAAGGATAGAGTGACCATTTGTGCAAACGTTTAAGATTAGTTTCTTTATTATACCTTTCCATTAATATCTATTTTTTTATCAATAGCCATGCAAAACTTCATTTTTTGCTTTCTTGACATGTCCTTCAACTCCATCTTAATTTTTCAATTATATCTCAGGTCGAGCTATCTTTTAATCAAACAAACTTAAATGGATAAAACATAATTCCCAATACTTGAATTTAATAAACTAACTCTTAAAATGATTTTTTGATCATCAGACTAAAGTTAGTTTAATAATCCGAAGAGATTACAAACCCTCACGAGATACCTTGTAGTATTAGAAGGCTACACTTGGTAGAGCTACACTATCTTGGAAATTCTCCAAGCAAACGTTTATTACAAAAGCATGATGGATCGAGTTTACTACTCTTTATAAAGCAGAATGAATTCATGATTTCTTAGATGATATTCCATGTCGGCCACAGCCCGTGCTCAGGGATAGATCGAAGGATATGAAAATTTTAAATTATTATATATTTTAAATATTTTTTTATATTTTTAATTAATACACTATTTTCAATTCTTAGAATTTTATAAGTTATTTTCCTCCTAAAATTTAGAAATTTGTATCTGCAACATAAGATTTTACGTGTGCCAATTATTTGTATCCATTGTGACTACCATTTAACAATTGAGAGGGCTGAGGGTAGCATATATCATAGTAAAGTCAAGACATATTCATAATAGTAATAAAGGAATAAAAAGTGACAAGCCTATCTACTGAGTGGATTTATTTTCACAGAGATGTTTGCCCACAATTTCGGCCATTGTCTCCAGTGGCTTAACGCTCAGATGGGGAACAAGATCCTCAAGCTTGTCATCTCCTTCATATTCTATAGATGATCTGACGGTACATGATTCAGAATCTTTCTCAATTATCTCTAATCGAATACGAACCAAGTCGAATCCAAACGCTTTGTATCCTCCTTCGATCAATTCGGTTTCTTTAACTCGATTGTCATCATCGATCTTTGTAAATTTTTCCTTCATATAACCACTTTCAGCGCTTCCTGCAACCAAATATGTTAATGTCCAAATTCAAATCTCAGCTAACCATTTCTTTTGATTCTCCAAATAGTGGTTCAAGTGATAAAATAACTGATAATTGTAACAATAGCTGATAAAATAACTATTATAACAGCCATAATAAAGGGCAATAAACAACCCATGATCATCTGAATTGCAATTGATTTAAAAACTGTATAAAGTAGCAAAAAAATTCAAGTTCAAGTGAATTTAAATTTGATTTAAAACAAACAAATAAAACACCCGAAATTATGCTATAATTAAAAATAGAGCAACTGCAGCAATTTTCTGTAATAACTGTCATAAAATTCAGTATAGAAAGTAATCCGAACGCCTTTAAATACAAAAGAGAAATTTCTTTTCCAATGTTCAAAAAATCTGGAGAAAATTTCTTGTTAATTTTCTCTAAAAATATGATACAAACGTGTAAAGGATGTATCAGTCCATATTTAAGCATATAGCAAGTACCTGGTGCAGATGGAAATGTGAGTTTGGCAATGGTTCCAACGCCTCCATCACCTTCTAAGATTTCAACCCTTCCGATAACTTCCGGTGCTATTTTATCGACAAGCCTTCCGAGCTCGAGACCACGGTATATATCCCATACTAAAGCGGCCGGAACACCAACCGGAGTATCCGTGGAGATTTGGCCGTGCATATTTTTTTCTTTCTCCGTTAAACTTTGTGATATTTTCCTTTTCATAAAAATAAACTGGCTTTGATGCTATCATATATAGCCTTGTTTTGATACCTTTTGTCACCCTTTGCCGAATGGCATGGAGCCCCCAGTTTTGGAAGTTACTATATGCGAATATTTACAATCTTTACAAGGAAAAGATACTTTTTATTGTTTAGGCCAAAAGCCGGCCTGGGAGGACCATATTTCATTTCCAACAACAGTCATTTCTTTTATTTATGTTTCATTTTTGAATTAAATAAGTGCACAATTGTGATTATACTATATCTCATCATTTGAATGTGTAGATCAAAATTTGTGGTGTACTTTTGAGAGACACTGTTTTACTCACCATTGATGTTAACAGATATATGAGTTAATCTTAACATATCTAACATTACATTTTATACTAATCAATCTATTTTCAGTCAATTAAACACTAAAAAATAAAGAAAATATTGTTTTGAAAAATATTTTCTCTAGCTTATGGAATTCAATCAATAAAAACATCACTAATTAAAAAGTGATGGGTCATAATTTTGTTTTTTTGGTTTCTCAATGTATTCACTATATCGAGCCTAACAATTAGGTCCAAATAGGACCAGATGTTTCCTTAAGTTTTAAAATTAATGTGTTATTGTCAATAATCTTTAGAATAAGTTACGGAAGGAGTTATGTTGGGACTCAAAGAGGCTTCGACCTCTATAAAAATGTTATCTATTCAATAGATTTCAATTTAATAGTATTTTTGTTCACGTAAAATAAATATTTATATTTCAAAATTATAAGAATTTAATAAATACTAATAAAATAGGAGTCAAAGTTAAGAAGGATAATCTCTTGTTCTCAATTTTTTTGTCTAATAACAATTTAAGTCATTGTAAGTTTAAATATTAGACAAATTAGGTATTATCTTCTTACTTTCAATTTTAAATACTCAATGAATCATTGTATTTTTCTAAAAAACTTCAATATTTTGGCTCCTATCAATATTTAATCTTAGCTCCGTCCCTAGAATAAATGATAAAAAATTCACAGTTAGCATTTTTTTCATTTATTTTAAAATTCACAGTTGAGGAAGATGATCTGTTGAAACTCAAGAAATGCCTGGTTGGGGAAACGGCTACGATCTGTAGCACTAAAAGTATTCAATGGAGAATATAAGATTGGGGGCTGGAAAAGATTAATATACTGAGGATATGTGGAAAAACTTTTCTTACTTCTATTGAAGACAAAGAGCTGTTTATAATGCTTGAAGATTTAAACTGGTCTTACCTCAAAGAAATCTTTGTAGACGTTAGAATTTGGTCAGAAAATCTAAATACGATGGAAAGGGCAACCTGGGTAGTGTTTTCTGGGGTTCTTCTTTAATGTTGGAATTCGGTAACGTTCAAGAGATGAGCAGATTTGTGGGGTTCGATGGAAGGACTTGTTGAAAAGTAAAGGCCATCAATTTGCATAATAAACTTTCGGTGCGCATGTAATTCGGTGGCTAAAATTGTTGAATTTTTACTGGTAAAATCATAAACTTTAGTCCCTAGACTTTAGGGTATTTATAAGATTAATCCTTAAGCTTCAACTATAAATACTCTAGCTCATTTAGCTTCAAAATCATCCCAAATCATTCTAGCTTTCTCCTAAGAGAAAATCGCCTCAGTGACCAAAAAAAAGTTATAATATACGATTTTAACCAACTTTTTTTGGATTTGCCAAAATGACCAACAAAATCGCAACGCGAAATAAAAATCGCAACGCGATCCCCAGAATCGCAAATCAGTTTCCAGAATCGCAACGCGATTCTTTAAAATCGCGATGCGATAGTACAAATTCGCATTGCGATTTTCCATAATCGCAACGCGAATATGAAAATCGCAACGCGAACACATAAATCGCAACGCGTATCCGTAAATCGCAACGTGTATCCGTAAATCGCAACGCGTATGGGTAAATCGCAATGCGTATCCGTATATCGCAACGCGTATCCGTAAATCGCAACGCGTATCCGTAAACCGCAACGTGTATCCGTAAATCGCAACGCGTATCCGTAAATCGCAATGCGTATCCGTAAATCGCAACGCGTATCCGTAAATCGCAACGATAATCCGTAAATCGCAACGCGTATCCGTAAATCGCAACGATAATCCGTAAATCGCAACGAGAATCTGTAAATCGCAACGATAATCCGTAAATCGCAACGAGAATCTGTAAATCACAACACTGAAATTTTGGGTATATAACACTGAAATCATAAACTAAATCCCTAAATCGCAACTCATTCCATCTCCATCTATCACTCTCTCCGGCGACATCCGTTCCTATATCCAACGACATCCTTCCCCATCCGGCAACAGGTCTTAGTTTCGCATCTCGTTTGTTTAGTTACAACCATGAAATCATCTAATGTTGATCATGTTTGGATAGATTTGTGTTTTGGAGGGTCATGGGATAATGTTAATGGTGTTTTACAATATATGCCTTTACCCATAAATCTTCAACTAAAATTGTCTTTACAAAAGTTAACTTATGAAACTCTAATGCTACGTGTTTCAAATAAATTGAATTTAGAGCCCCTAAGTGGATTTAGGCTATCTTATCAGAGAAATGGTAAAGTTTATTTGTTAACCGACAATGAAGATGTTGAACGATTCATTGCTTACATTAGTGTTTCACAAGATGATGTTACATTGTATGTTGTTGAACCTAGAAGTAGTATTGTTGGGTCAGTAGCGGGTAGTAATCAACTAAGTTTTTCTCAAAACCCACAACCTTTCTCTAATCCAAATCCCAATCAACTTTCAGCACCAAATTCCGGTTTTCGTATGACCAGTTAGACGATGATGAGCCAACAGAAAAAATTGTGAGTACTAGTCAGTATTCGAAATTTGGTCTTGGTCAATATCCGGACTTTGATATTGGTCAATACACGGATTTTGATGATGTTTCAGAAGAAGAAACAGACCATGCGTGTAATGATATTGATATTGGTCAATACCCGAATTTGATGATGAAACAGCCGTTGCCGAAGAATGTAATGTTGATGATAATGAGGAGGAAGTTACGACTGTGAATGAACATGTTGAACATCCATTCTGTAATTAATATAATCCTGAAGAAGAAAAAGAAGAAGAAAAAGTCCCCGAAGAAAAGAAAATGCCACGGGCGTATAACTGGAATATGCCAGAATTACTTCAGATACCGGAAGAAGAGTTGATAAAGAAAGCAGTTGATTGTTACACAAAAGTTATTCGTATCAAGAAAGATGATTGTTTTGATACAAGGAAGACTTGAAGATAGCTTTATATACGAAATGTGTGGAAGATGGCTATCAACTAAAAGTTAACAAATCAAGCAAAGATCGTTTCGAAACAAGGTGTATGATTGACAAAAACTGTACGTGGCGTATGATTGCAAAGAGAATAAAAGATTGCAAAATGTTTCAAGTTAGGACTTTTATTGATAAACATACATGTTCAAGAACCCAAGTTTTTCCTCACCATAGACAGGCAAACAAAAGGTGTTGGGTGGTTTTCTGGCTGAGTTAATGTTTTTGAATGGCAGGGTATATCGGGGACATGAAATTATGACTGACATGAATGCTCGGTTCAAGATTAGTATATCATATTCTCAAGCTTGGAGAGCCAAATGTTATGCCTTGGAATTGTTGAGGGGGTCGCCAGAAGCATCGTTTGCCCAACTGCCGGCTTATTGTCACAATTTAAAGCTGAAAAATCCTGGGTCGGTAACTCATATCAAAACAGATAGAGATGGACGCTTTGAGTTGCTGTTTATCGCCATTGGTGCTACGGTTAGTAAATCAATATAATTTTGTTGACTCATTTTTGTTAGTTACATGCATTTCACATTTAAATGATTATATTTATTGTGTATATTATTTTGTAGATTCGTTCGTTTATTACTTGCATGCGCCCAGTTATTATAGTTGACGGAGCACATTTGAAAGGTCGATACCTTGGAGTAAACTTATTAGCAGTAGCCATGGATGCTAACAATGGGATATTGCCAATAGCTTACGGGGTTGGCAAATCTGAAACCTCTGATTCATGGACATGGTTTATGGGGCATCTTAGGGATTGCATAGGTCCTATTAGCAATCTGACAATCATATCCGATAGGGCAAACTCAATTGACAACGCTGTTAGAAGGTGTTTCCCAGATGCTTTTCATGGACTTTGTGGTGTTCATTTGTATAGAAATCTAAAATCAAGGTCTGCTGGTATAAAAAAGCACAAATGGACATACTGGAAGGCTGTAAAAGCTTATCGGGAAGTGGATTTCAATAAGCATATAAATTGTTTAAGACGTGTTTTGCCTCAGTGTGCTCAAACACTAGAAGATGTCGGGTTTGAAAGATGGTCAAGAGTACATCAACTTGGAGCAAGATATGGTTTCATGACGTCTAATAGTGCAGAATCAATCAACGCTCTAAGTCGTCATTCCCGGAAATTACCCATTACTATGTTAATGGAGTTTTTCGAGCCTCTATTCAACAGTGGTACTACAAGAAAAGAAACCATGCAGGTATTATTTCTTTGAATTCGTAACTTATCATATTTATATATTTTACTAAGTATTGTTTATTTAAATTTACAGGAACATTGGAACATCGTGTTACACCATGGACTGAAAAAAGATAACGAAACGTGTTGTGAAGTCAACGTCATGGAGAGTTGAACCATGTTCAAACACTTTGTTTCAAGTACTGGATAATAACTTAAATGGGCTAGTCGATCTAAATGCAAAGACGTGTAGTTGTATGAAATGGCAAACATCTGGTTATCCGTGTGGCCATGTTATAAAAGTTGCTCTTCATTTAAACCAAGATAATTCAAGCGCATACGCTATGGATTGCTACACTACAGAAGTTTATCGACAGACTTATGCCGAGATTGTCTACCCTATTCCACATCCTTCTGAGTGGGACATACCAGATGACTTACAAACAGTTTTGCCACCAGCCATGGACAGAAGGCTACCTGGCCGACCAAAAAGTCACGATCGTATACCGTCTAAGGGTGAAGAGAA